CGATCCAGGATCGTTTCGTTCTTCAAAGCTAATCCGAGAGTTGTTGTCATAGCAACAGTTCTGCTAGGTCAAACCTGATCGGGAGCAGGTTCAAGTCATATAAACAGGATTAGATCGGCTTAGTTCAAGCAAAGATAATACAGAAAGTATGTTCCGAATTCTGATATTTTATTACAGTAGTAGTTATATACACTTGGGAAAATGGTAATTTTTTTAAACTATATATATAAAATTATAGTCATTAATAAAATAAATAAAGTTATACATATTAATAAAACGTATGCAATCTGCACCCTCGAAATGAAAGTACAAAGACTGCCACCTGGTGGTGCAAAGAGAAAACTTATTGATATGAACTTTTTAGATCGCTTTAGTACAAATTGTGGATAATAGAAATGCACAATATGTGACTTTTTTAAAAGCAATAATACATTTATGCAGTCATAAACATGTTTTGATAGTTAATATGCCGGTGATTTGATGCTTCACAAAAGTTGCAGACACCTTTACCAATATGAAAATGCTTTTGTAAACAACCAGTTATTCTTTACACCAATTAAAAAACGGCTACTATAATAAAGAAAATATTTTCTAAATGTAGAACTAAATACATTGATTTGCATTGAAATACATGATGAATACACTTGACACATGAACGTGGAAAGCCTGCAGCTCACAACAAATGTGGAAGGTTATTGCGTGTCATATTTAACAAGCCGTTTACTGCTAATTAGATGTAATTTTGCTCACATGGATAATTGAATATTAATCAGATGATGTCATTACGCTGCTGTGCCGTCAGCCAATCGTTGCATTGCTGATCATGATTTCGAGGATCGATAGATCTGTCCTTCACAACACACGCAGCGATCTCAGATCAGTTTATCCAGACATTCTAATCTGATTCGCGAACTCGTTTGAAGAACCAAATTAGCGAGAGATCAGTTATCAAGATTAAAAGATCCGGGATCTGCCAAATAATCTTAGATAATTTAAGCGAGGTACGAAGAACGGACCCCTGACAGTGGAGCTTTTGTGTGTGGATGGCTATGTGTATCATGTTTTTGTGATTCCCTGTGATGATGTGCACATGTTACCTTACAGAGATGATGGAATTTAATTTTGGCTTAGTTGCCAGAAAGATACATACAACTGTTAGCATCTGTACATTATGGCAGTATGCAATATCCAATATCCAATAAATACATATACTTAGACAAAAGTAATGTAAGAAGTTATATGAGGAGAGGCTAACTAGCTAACAATGTAGCTTTCAAGTACACAGTTCAAGATAATAACAATATAACTTAAAACACAGCCTTATTATAGAAACCCTCAAAAACATTTGAACACATTTTATTTACTCGTTGTAGATTCTTATTTAAAGCCTAATACATATCAGACTCTACATCTGAATTGATGGACAGAGAATAGAGCACACTCAGCAGTAAACAAATCAAACACCTGGCTCCCTTAAAGGGCCAGCATTTTCTGAAAACTCTTTCTAACACCTTTGTGTTTAGAAGAAGACAGACAGCCCGTGGGAGTGTGTGGTGATGCCTAAATCATTAATTTCTGCCTTTAAAATGCACATCTCTATAAATAGCAACATAAACCATCAGAGAAGATGGGACAGTAATGGTTGAACAGTAATTTGCTATTTATTGTCAGTTACTATCTGTAATGAGTACATAAAGTAAATTACTGTAATTTATTTTTTGCACTACACAATTTCATACAAAGTCTACTCCTTTTACAGTAAAATAATGTGTTAATAAATAATAAATGTTTCCTTTTATTACAGCAAAACACTGTAGATTGTGCAGTAAATAACTGTAAAATAGCCAGAGTAACAGTGCAGTTATACTAATTAAACACACCTGATCAAACTAAATCTAAAGGTAGTGTGTTGAAGCAGGGCTGGAACTAAATTCTGCTGGGCTGTGGCCTTTCAGGAGTTTGACATCCCTGGTACATAGCATATTTTCAAAGGAATTGCCTACATTTATCACAATCATGCACATATCATTGAATAAAAACAATAAAAATATAAAAACTTCATCCAAAGTAAACAAATAAAAAATAATAATAATAATCTGATCCTCATGTTGTTCCAAACCTATAGTAAAATATATTACTATAGGTAATATATAGGTCGATATCTTTACCTTTTAATTAGCTCTGTGACATTGACATTGGTTGACTCCTGATACTCAATGTTAAAAACATAAAAGGAACCAAAGAAAACACAGAGATGGCTGCAGAGAAATTTATCTTATCATCAATGCATTGTCTCACTTTCTCCTCAATACTGACCATACACATACCAAAACTGAACTATATATATATATATATATATAGTAACATAAAGTATGAGGTGACGTATAGGATTTAAATCAAACTTTGCTTATCAACACATACATAAAACACGTGTATATACACCTATTAATTACTTGCATATACACCTATACTACTGGATGTTCAAAACAACATGGATGAAACTTTTTATATATACATATAAACTTGACGCATGAATACACCCACATACACACGCACATACATATAAACTCGATCCTCACATAAACACCCACATTCACACACGCACATACATATAAACTTGCTGCATGCAAACACACCTATACACACTCGCATACACATATAAACTTGATCTATGCATATACAACCATAAACTCTCACATAAGAATATAAACTTGATGTGTGCATAAACACCCAAATGACACTTGTGCAAACATAATAAAATTCACAAACATATATACAGTTAGTTGTGTATATACATATATGCAAGTGATTTCATATGTGTGTATGCATGAATTTTCACAGTAAAAGGAAGTTATTTCACTTTAAAAGGAAGTCGTTTCATTTCAACGTAAAAGTCCTTTGAGTGTAATGAACAAGATTATTATTTGTCATGAATCAGGTTATTGCAAAGCTTAGGAAACAGAAATAATGTGATTAATAGAGGAATTACATCTGTTGAATTATGAAAATAGATTATGCTAATTATAAATAATAAATAAATAAAAAGGTAATGCAAAGGAATGCTCCTGCAAAATTAAAGGTTTATTATGCAATTAAATGATTGGAAATGTTATTATGGTTTAATAAATATAAAGTTGCTTAAGTAATCATTTTGAATAAAATATGTTTGTCTAATATTAGTTTTTTATGTTTGTTTTATTATTGGTGTCACTATTCGTCAAGGGTTACGATACACACTTATGTCCAGTAGGGGGCAGGAATGCACTTAAGTGGGTTTTCCTGTCACCAATAAACAGGCTAATGCACCAAAATGCTGGATGCCAGCTGCTGTAAAAATATAAGTAGTAGTTATTAAACACAAAAGAAGTTTCCAGATAATATATATAGCTTTTCCATGGGGGTTAACTTGACCAACATGATGAGCAGAGACTTTTAATCAGCGTTTTTTTTTTTTTTTTTTTTTTGTCTATGCTGAATAATTAACAATCAAAATGAGACCAAAATCTTGCAATTTTGACACCCACATTGTAAAAACATATAAAAAGCATAATAATTATAAAAATGTAAAAAAAAAAAAAACAAGAAGACTATAGGCTACATTAACATTTGCGATAGAAAAGAGGAGTTTAGTTTGAGTATATATTTATATTTATAGTTCTGGTTGCTTTTCAAACGTCCTTTAAGGGTTCTATCTGTCCATTTATATTTGTGTATGTAATTACCTAATTAAATGAAAAGGTTTTAAATAAAAATATTTCTTATTTTGAATAGTCTATTCATATATATACTAATATTTTATATAACATATGTTCATAATTTAACATATTTAATCCCTCTATTAATCACATTATTTCTATTTTATAAGCTTTGCATTAACCAGATTCGTGATAAATGTTTGTGAATTTTTTTATTTTATTTTTTTTGTGTGTTTGCGCGAGATGTTGTAGGTGTGTTTGCATGCTGCGAGTTTATATGTATGTGCATGTAAATGTGGGTATTTATGCGAGAATCGAGTTTATATGTATATGCGAGTGTGTATAGGTGTGTTTGCATGCAGCAAGTTTATATGTATGTGCGTGTGTTAATGTGGGTGTTTATGTGAGGATCGAGTTTATATGTATGTGCGTGTGTATGTGGGTGTATTCATGCGTCAAGTTTATATGTATATACACAAGTTTCATCCATGTTGTTTTGAACATCCAGTAGTATAGGTGTATATTCAAGTAATTAATAGGTGTATATACACGTTTTTTATGTATGTGTTGATAAGCAAAGATTGATTTAAATCCTATACGGCACATCATAGTAGCAGCACATTTTATTTAGCATAGAAAAAATAAATAAATACATTTTCTTAAGCACCATATTGATTACACTTAAGACTGCAAACATGATGCTGATTTTTCAAGTTTGAAGCACAGGAATAACACATTTAAAAAATTTAACATCTTTAAAAATATATTCACATGCAAATGGGTTTACTGTTTTGTAAACGTGTGACTGTTTGACTCAATAAATGCAGCATTGGTTTAAAAAAACATGAATGTATGAATATTAATGCTTTCAGACTTTGCACAATTATGATATTGCATATTAAGTATTATACATACATACATACATACATACATACATACATACATACATACATACATACATACGTTTAAGTACTATAAAGTTATTTAATAATCTCTGGGGAAAACTGAGGATTCAGACATAAAAGGGGAAATGAAGAGAATTAAATAAAGCAAATGAATGCACAATTCATCAAGTCTCAGTTGGCATTTCTGTGTATAGTTTGCATGTTTTCCCCGTGTTAGCGTGGGTTTTCTCCGGGTGCTTCTGCGTTTCCCCCACAGTCCAAAGACATGCGGTACAGGTGAATTGAATAAACTAAATTGTCCGTAGTGTATGTGTGTAAATGAGTGTGTATAGATGTTACCCAGTAATGAGTTGCAGCTGGAAGGGCATACGCTGTGTAAAACATATGCTGGATAAGTTGGCAGTTCATTCTGCTGTGGCAACCCCTGATGAATAATGGGACTAAAGGAAAATTAATATATATGAATATTAAACAAAAGAAGAGAGGGGGAGCGGTGCATGAATCAAAATATGTGCAATATATCACTAAACAATATTCTGTTGTAAAAAACAGTGCAAAAATGTTGAAAGGTTGCATACGTATAAATCAGTGGTTCTCAAACTTTTTTCATCAAGTACCACCTCAGAAAAAAATTGTCTCTCCAAGTACCACCAAAATGAGTAGTATTGAAATACAGTAGCGTAGTAGGCCCAGTGAAGCAGCTACAACTCTGCACATTAAAAAAAACGTGGCAGATTAGCCTTAAATATAGGCTATATGTCATATATGGCATATTATATACATGTTTTTTAATAAATTTTAAAATATATGTAGCATGTACATGACATATTTCATTCCTCTGTGTACCACTAGAAGGAAGCCCGCGTACCACTAGTGGTACACATACCACAGATTGAGAACCACTGGTATAAATCATACAGGCAGGGGCAGATTTAACTTATAAGCAAGGTAAGCGGCCACTTAGGGTCCCAGGAAATCTGAGGGCCTCCAAATAAATACCTAGAATTTTGTACAGTGAGGATCCCCCGCCTTCAATCATGGAGCAGTCCAGCAGTCAGATCAGTAAAGATTTTGTTTTAAAAACGAAACTTTTCATTTATTATTTTTAGTTGTGAAGTCATCTTAAGTAAACAATTCGCTTCAAAAGTTTTAAAAAGTGCTTTACATGTTATTATTATTATTTAGCATTAAGATAAAATGTAGAAAATGAGATCAAATGATATAAGAAAAACAACAATAATAATAATAAAAATTATAGTACAAAGTGTGAATTTTTGAACTAACGAGCTCCATGGCTGGAATGCTCAGGGCCCCAAAATCACTAAATCCACCCTTGCAGACAATTTGCACTCATTTGCAATGAGTAAAAAATATATCTTCGAAATATCTATTTGGTTTCATACTCTGACTTTTATGAAATGACACTCTTATATCATTCTTATATCACGATCCCAAAACTATTGGGGGGACTACATTTTCTGTAGTGCGGAAATTACGTCAGTGCCTTGCGACACACATGCGCGCGCGTACCTTAGAGGACGCCGAGCAAGGCATGGAACACCTTGGTGCATTTCTACTGCTGTGGACAGGAGTGTCGTGTTTACCTTTAACGGAAGGTGAGTGAATGCTTGTAAATCTGCGTGGACGGAGGAAAATAAATGCACGTGTTTGATGTGTCGGAGTGAATCGCCAGTGTTCAAACTTTCCCATTGGACCTCAGGTTGCGCGCTGCGCGGTCACGCCATCTGATTGGATCGCGAACATGCAGCTGTCAAACTTGCAGGGGCTTTATGTTTCGATTTTCCTCGCGCATTATAAAGATGTAATTACAGACTGAGTTACTATCAAGCGCATACACCCTTATTATACAGCGGATTAAGTAGAGTGTCAGTGTTTCATTTTGCATTATAAAAGCTCGCGCGGGTTGTCCTTGGCGTTGCGTCAGGATCTTCCACGTGCGCTCTTTACATAAATGATTACTGTATTTACAGTGGCGCTTGAAACTTTGTAAGATATATTTCCAGTTAGGGATGAAATCGTCAAATGTTTTGAAATTGAACTTGTCACTTTAAATTTGGGGTTTATTAGTTTAAACAATGGGGTAATCAATGGAAAAACAAGTAACAATGTCTAGATATCAACCAGTATGGGAGCTTTTACGGCAGAAAACATGATCAAGCTTTAAATCTGCAAATCAGAAAGGCATTTCTGTTCCTAATGAACTTTTCAGATTCCATCATAGAGGTGCTCAGTAAGGATTTAGGTCTTGGCTTTGTTCTGGCTAGATCTGAGTAAATCTTATTAAATCCTTTTTTATGATGTTTTTTTAACTGCCTGCCTGGACCAGAAAATGTCTAAAAAAATTGCTGTGTAAACACTGCTTCAGTAAAGTTTTCAAACATTGTCCTCGCTGCTAATACTGAATTTGACACTGTTTCATTTGAAAGGGGAGAGTCAGGTAAGATGAGCCATTTTACTTGTGTTGTCTATAAGGAAAAAAAGAGGCAGAAGTGCAATGAAAGCATTTAACTTAATTTCTGGAGGTTTCCTTTTAATTCAAATTATGATTATGCTCACAGGACAAAGCGTTTTAAAAATACAGCATTCTAAAAAAAGCCCAGATAATAGTGTGATTTGGTATTTTAAGTGATCATATGGTTAAAAATGTCAGAATAAATATAGCATTAAAAGTCTTTTCAGGCAAAAAATAATACATTTCATTTTAAACTAAATTATATACATTTAAAATGCACTTTATAAATGTATTATTAAGCTATTGTTTATAGTCAGGCTTTTTATTGAGCAGTCAATGTTATATATATATATATATATATATATATATATATATATATATATATATATATATATATATATATATATATATATATAATTATTATTATTATTTTTGTAAGTAAATAATAAATATGGCATACTAAAAAAGTGGTCATGTGGTTCAATTTGCCCCATGTTAGGAGTAAATTGATCTGAGCTAGTGGGTGAACTTACCATCCTTGGTAGGAGCTATTGGATAAACTGACTACTGAACATTAATCGAGCACTGATTAATGCAAAATGTAAAATATAATTTAATTATAAAATATAATCAAAATATTATTGAAATACATAATTTAATGATGTTTTTTCTTTTGGACTTTTAAATGTAAACACTTAAGTTTGATACTATTTAATGAACAACTACCCTACATAGACATCAGTAATCCAATTATTTGACAAATTATTAAATGGTGGACTTTAACTGCAATTTGGCACTTTCATTCAAAAATTTCATTTATGCCTCTTGTGACAAACGAGATATTTGTTCAGAGGAATTGCTGGAAGCGAGTATTTTTAATGCAATGTTTGATACCACACGGCGAAGGAAGGAAGGTAGCATCAGAAAGCCGTGTGTGTTATTCCTGTCGAAAATCCTACACGACGATAATAGTTTGATTGCGGTGTTTGCATGTTTACACTCGGAGAGCAACATTTACAGCAGATTTTTCAGTCATAATATTGTAGCTATACTAACGTACGGTAAACTTAGTAACTTAGAAATAATTTCGACCAAGGTCCGTCTTTAAACACTGAAAGAGTACTGCTGATGACACGAACTAACTTTGCCTCTGAATAAACGAACAAAGATCACTGATCGCACACTTACCAAATCTGTAGAGACAGGACAATCAACACCAACTAGATCCGCATCTTTTTTAAAAGGAGACAAGCAGCAATTCCGAATTTTACCATTTCCAGATGAGAAAAGTTCTCTGGTAAACAATTTTCCTTAGACACATATTTAGGTTGAGTGTCGCGTGCACTGTAATCTACACGTGAGTTCAGCTGCCCTCTCATAGCGGGAAAATAAAAACAAAACCTTTGATGCAGCAAATAATAAAAGCAACACTGACAACTTGTGTCAAACAATTCTTCTTCTTCCACTTGTTTTGACAACACAATGTGGTGTCTCTCTGCCGTCTGAACACTGTACAGGTACAAACAGTCTTCGATTGATTAATTAATATCTTTTAATTAAGTTGCATATTAATTAAGTTGCACCACATACACAATAGAGTGCGCTGATTGGTTTGAGCCAAGTCTTTCTCATGAATGAATGCAGCCCACTCAGAGATGTCACCAAGTACTCCCAGGTAGAGACAGCCAGTCTACACGCTGGAATACACGCAAGAACCTAATCGGTGTGACGCAGCTTCAAAAATAAGTTTCAAACCGGAAGAATGAATTTGCTCGAAATATTGCAAAAACAACCAATTTTCACTTTTCTATGTGAAATATATGTGTCTTAATAGTGTTTATTGCAGCGTGGGACACGTATATGACTGTCAACATTAAAAAAAAAATGTGTTTTGGTGTTTCGTGACCCTTTAAATACCTCTTTTGCACAATAGCTTGCACAATATAGTTTTAGTACCTGTATAGTCTGTCTTGGGTTATAATCAGTTATTAAACCTGTTATGTTTAGAAATGTGTTGATAATCCTTCTGTTAAACTGAAATTGGTGGAAATATACAGGGTGGTTTGTAATTCAGGCCAGGGGTTTAATAATTCTGACTTCAACTGTATGTATAGTAAGATTACTGCTCAAGTATGTTAGTCATGCGTAAGCTTAAAACCTGCTCTTACATTCAGTGTTGTATTTTTTTAATGATTATGTTTATTTAAGTAGCACCATGACTTGCGACATGCAACATTTCATGGTATTTCCACCTCATAATTATGAACTGACTGTTTATTATTTTTATATTATATACCATAATATCTTAATTATTGTAATTTTTTATGGTCAAGTAGCAACATTTCACACTTAGGTTAAAGCATTAGTTCACATTCAGAATAAATGGTTCGATAATTTACTCATACAAGATATTTATTTCTCTTCAATCAAAAAAAAAAAAAAAATGAAGGAAAGCATGCAGGGCAACAAACTCGTTTGACACTACATCTGGGGTGCAAACTTTTGTGGTTAAAAAAAATACATATATACAGTTGAAGTCAGATTTATTACCCCCCAAATCCCCCCACACCCCCTGAATTAATAGCCCCCCTGTTTATGTTTTCCCCAATTTCTGTTTAACAGAAATAAGATTTATTTAACACATTTCTCAACATAATAGTTTTAATAACTCATTTCTAATTACTGATTTATTTTATCTTTGCCATGATGACAGTAAATAATATTTGACTATTTATTTTTCAAGACAATTCTATACAGCTTAAAGTGGCATTTAAAGGTTTAACTAGGTTAATTAGGTTAACTAGGTAGTTTAGGATAATTAGGCAAGTTATTGTATTACAATGATTTGTTCTGTAGACTATTGAAAAAAATATAGCTTAAAGGGGCTAATCATTTTACCTTAAAATTTTAAAATAAAAAAATTAAAAACTGCTTTTATTCTAGTCGAAATAAAACAAAAGACTTTCTCCAAAAGAAAAAAATATTATCAGGCATACTGTAAAAAGTCCTTGCTCTGTTAAACATCACTTGGAAAATATTTTAAAAAAAAAGAAAAAAAGGGGGTTTAAAGGGGGGCAAATAATTCTGACTTTAACTGTACATATATTTTAAGAAAAATGACTGATCATTTTGCTATAGGTGCATAAAAGATATATTTAATTAACTGGTTCCATATTTCCTGTGCCACAGGATTGCCATTTATTTATGGTTGTTAATGGCATTATGGGACCCTGATCTCTGCTCTGTCAACTTGATTTTGAAATTTTAACTCTGCAGTTTAAAAAAAGACTTTCATTGACATTTTAGTGTTTTGAAACAATATATTGCTATATATATATATATATATATATATATATATATATATATATATATATATATATATATATATATATATATATATATATACACACACACATAAAATAAAGTCTATAAAAAAAGTACTGGCATTTTATTACCAAGCCATTGTCTTGTAATTTACAAAACGGACCCAGGCAATATATCATTTCAAACTAGGCATGGGCCGGCATAAGATTCTAATGGTATGATAACTTTGGATAAAAATATCCAATATTGTGATTACTTCTCTAAAATGTATGTTTTAAATGTATGTATTAAATGCTTTGGTAAAATCAAAACCTTTTCTCGCTTTGAACGCAATGACTGTGTCCGAAATCACATTTTTCCATACTATATAGTATGCTAAAAACAGTATGCAAGCTGAGTAGTATGTCTGAATTCATAGACTTCTGTATAGAATGTACTGTTCTATCGGTCGAGTAGTACATTCAAATTCAAATGCAGGGCCTACTGAGTAGTAGGTGATTTCAGACCCAGCCGATACCAATATGTGTTATTTTGAGAAACATTTAAAATAAAAATATTTTGGAACAGGAGACATTTCTGGATAAATAATTTAAATGAAGACTTCTGTTATCTTCATTAGTTTTAAAACGCACATTTGAGAATTTTAAATGATTTAAAAACGGCACCTTTAGATATCTTTTCTGCTGGAGATACTGTTGTCCTAAAAAACAAACAAACAAAAAACATTTTGGCGGTTTAAAAACACTGACTTTTCCAAACCTGCAGACTTTTTTTTTTTTTTAAACAGTTGAAGTTAATACTCTTGCTGATTTAAAAAACTGCAATTTGTAAATGTCCAACCACTGATAGAAACCCACTATATGACAACAATTTTTTAAATATTATTCCTAAAAAGTCATAAAAAAGTAATATTATTTTTTAAACTGTACATTTTGGATGACAAAGTGCTGAGCAAATTTTCAGAAAATGTTAATTCTGGAAGTGAACTAAATCCATCTTTAAAGTGAACTCCTAATAATAAGAGCTGTTCTCTTATCTGCCACAGGTTTCCCAAAGTGCACCGTGCTTCAGTTTGTGTGTGCGAACAGCAGATGTGTATCTCTGTCTTCGCGCTGTGATGCTGTGAATGACTGTGGAGATGGCAGCGATGAAATCTCCTGCTGGAACTGCACTAATGGCTCTTTCCACTGTGTGGCGTCAGAGAGCTGTGTTTCCTCCAGCAGTGTGTGTGATGGCAGGCCGGACTGCGCTGATGGAGCAGACGAACAGTTAGACACATGCACATCATTTTCTCAAGCACAGCCATGTGCACGTTCAGAGTTCACATGCACTAATGGACAATGTGTGCCCAATTCATGGAGGTGTGACCACTCCAGTGACTGTAAAGATGGCAGCGATGAAGAAGACTGTGGTATGTTTTTTTTAAGGAATAGGCCATTTTTTCTTTATTTTTGGACTTTAAAGTCATAGTTTAACCAAAATTTACATTCCTGTTAATTTACTCACCCATGGGTTATCCAAAATGTAGGCGACCTTTCTCTTAGGTAGACTATTAAAAGGATAGTTCACTCATAAATGAAAATTTACTCACCCGCAAGTGGTTCCATACCTTTATGAATTTCCTTTTTCTGTTGAACACATTCAAAAAAGTCATTTTGTAAGATGCTGGAGACCTGTAATCATTGACTTCCATTGTATTTAGTTTTCCTACTGTGAAACGCAATGGTTAATGCAGGTTTCCAGCATTCTTCAAAATAACTTTTTTAAGTGTGTTCAACAGAAAAAAGAATCCCAAACATGTTTTGGTTCAGTAAATGACAGAATCTTCTGTTTTGGGTGAACTGTTTTTAGCTATATCTGTGATGTATATTAAGACCATTTATGTAAAGCTGCTTTGACACAATCTACATTGTAAAAGCGCTATACAAATAAAGCTGAATTTAATTGAATTGAATATATTGGCAGTCAATGGTCACGCTTTTTTAAAAAAAATATTATAAATAAACACATACAAACAAGTCCAAATCCACATTCATGGCAACACACTGCTGTCACTGATGTTTATTTGATCAGTAACGTAGCTGTAATGTGAAATATGGGTTTAAAATAACCTTTTCTGTAATTATGAGCATTGACTACAGTTGCGCTTCTAAAATGTTAGCTTGAATTATTTCTGATATATATAAAGTTAATTAATAGGAAACTAAATTGTGAGTAACAATGTATTACAGTATTTAAAAATTACAACACACACACAAAAAAAAACACAAACGTGTCTTGTGAGAAAAAGATTGTAGAGATTGTAACAAATCTGTCTGTATATACACACACACAAACAGTTGAAGTCAGAATTATTAGCCGCCTTTTTTATTTTATTATTTTTTTTTAATTTCCCAAATTGTGTTTAACAGGGCAAGGATATTATCACAGTATTTCTGATTTTTTCTTCTGAAGAAAGTTTTATTTGTCTAGAATAAAAGCTTTTATTTAAAAAAAAAATAAATAAAAAATTTAGGACAAAATAATCAAAGTTAAATTTAAGGTAACTTTTTTTTGATAGTTTACAGAACAAACCATCATTATACAATAAATTACCTTAACCTGTCTAGTTAAAAATATTAGTAAAAAAATGTTAAAAAATATCTAGTTAAATATTATTAACTGTCATCATGGCAAAGATAAAATAAATAATTTTTTAACTGATGAGTTATTAAAACGATTATATTTAGAAATCTGATGAAAATTTTTTTTCTCTGTTAAACAGAAATTAGTATATATATATATATATATCTCACCACCTTGTAATTATAGGGTTCTATCTGACATTTTTGTTAAAATTTAGTTATTGACATATTCTTATTAAATGACAACTTACATTTACATTATGGGATGTTTGTTATAAGTTGTTTACATTTTAAAATTTTATTTAAAAAACAAATTTTACACACATACATGCTATGGAATGAAAAAACTTTGAAGCTCAATATCTCAAAATCATTCAGAACACAGATAGAACCTTAATAAAATGATATTAATATGATGATAATTTTGGCAACTTTATGTATAATTTAATATTTTTATTTTATTTTATTATTATTTGAAATTGGTTTGGTTGTCTATTTTATCATTCATTTTAAATATTTTTTTCTGTCTTTTGCTTTTATTTTAGCTTTAATTTTTAGTAGTTTATTGTTCTGTCATAACTATTAATGTTTTTTTGTAGCTTTTCAAATTTTTAATTTCTAATTTTACTGCTTACATTGTATGAACTTGTACATAATAAATAAACATATATTAAAAAAAGAATGTGCTTTATTTATAAACCACTTTTAATGCTCTCTCTCTCTCTCTCTCTCTCTCTCTCGCTCTTTTCCTCTCTCTCTTTCTCTACGAGAGAGAGAGAGAGAGAGAGAGAGAGAGATACAGTTGAAGTCAGAATTTTTTTCTTTTTTTAAAATATTTCCCAAATGATGTTTAACAGAGCAAGGAATTTTTCACAGTATGTCTGATTATGTTTTTCTTCTGAAGAAAGTCTTTTTTGTTTTATTTTGGCAAGGATAAAAGCAGATTTTAATTTTTTAAAAACCATATTAAGGTCAAAATTATTAGCCCCTTTAAGCTATATTTTTTCGATAGTCTATAAACCATCGTTATATAATAACTTGCCTAATTACCCTAACCTGCCTAGTTAACCTAATTAACCTAGTTAAGCCTTTAAATGTCACTTGAAAAATATCTAGTCAAATATTATTTACTGTCATCATGGCAAAGATAAAATAAATCAGTTATTAGAGATGAGTTATTAAAACTATTATGTTTAGAAATGCGTTGAAAAAAAAATCTGCTCTCCATTAAACAGAAATTGGGGGAAAAAATTAACAGGGGGGCTTATAATTCTGACTTCAACTGTATATGAAAAGCACATTCTTTGTATCATTATTAAAGAATCTATTTGATCATTGTCTCTTTTGTTGTTCTTTCTCTTATGATGTAGATCACAATGAATGTGCGGTCAATAACGGTGGCTGTTCACACACATGTATCGATCTGCCTTTCGGCTTCAGATGTGACTGTCCTAAAGGAATGAGGCTGGTCCAGGACACACACTGTGAGGGTGAGCAATGGGTAACTTAGTAATGACATTACATGATCCAATGTAAACACATTACAGCATTGCTGCAGAAACGCTGCTTTGGAAGCTCTTCATTCACAGTCAATGATTGCCCTTTTTCCATGAACAGCAGTGCCCAGAACAGGGTGGTTTCTGAACTAAAACAAGTAGTATTCTCAGCACGTATGATCTAAACATGAGCTGACCTGTTACATTTGAATTGAAAATCACCATTAATGTGTATTTAACTATTCAACGGGAATACTGTTTTTCATGTACTTGTCAGTTTTGCGATTTTAGGCTTTTAATAGAGTTCTTGTTTTTAGTTTGAAGAAAAGAAAACCTGCTTCACGCTTTATCAGTTTATTCCTGTAGGTTTCATTTAAAATTTGTATTTTTAAAGGCCTTTTTTTTCTGCATTGAGCTGTTAATCTCCACTTCATCAGCTCTTCTATACATCAGTCTCTACAATTTCATTTATATCTGTATTCTGAAGGTTTCATACATCATTCGCCTGTTTATATACAAGATTTTATTTGCTTTTGGCAGTATTTTTTGAAAGTTGGAATGACAAAGAGATTCCTAAAATCCATTCTGTTAAATCCTTAAAACTTAAATATGCTAAAAAAAATTAGTGTATATTTAAATATGACTGAATTTGCATATTTAAACGTTTTTAAATATACTTTTGAAAACGTGTCATAAAAAGTGGGTAACACTTTAGTTTAGATTCGATTTCCCACTATTAACTAGTGGCCTATTACCTGCTTATTATTTCCATTTTGGCTTTGAATTAGTACTTATAAAGTATGATCTTATTCTACATCCCTAGACCTACAAAATACCTAAATCCAAATTACTACCTCACTCACTATTAATAAGCAGCAATGCAACACCTATTGAGCTAAAAGTCTAAAGCTGCAGTCACACTGCACTTTTCGCCTCATAGACTTCCATATATACACATTTGAATGCGACAGAGAGGATACGCAAGCTTGTGCGACAAGTTTCAAAGTTCGCTGTGTTGCAAAATTCAAGCTTGGTGGACTCTGACCTGCGAAATTACGTTATGTGACTGTGTGAGACCAATCAAAAATCAAAAGATGACCGCTCTGTACAGAAATGTAAAACATGGAGAAATCGCATTTTGTATGCTTACAGTGTGCGGCGTGAGGCTAAAAGTAAAAATTGTACCTTAAAATAAAGTTTGATCAAAGAGTGTTTGCAATTCCCAATGTAACCAATCATTGCAGAAATAGGTTGATGATGATATTAATAATAATAATAATAATAGTAATTCTTCTTCTTATTATTATCATTAATATTATTATCATCATCAACATCTTTTTTAATCTTTTTTCTGATTTGCAATGTGCATTGTCCTTTGTCCAAAATTTAACCATTACGAAACATCTCTTTGATTATTATTTAAAAAGTATGATAATCATCGCTCTCTTTCATATTTTAGTATTACCATTTCCCTCAAAAACTCACTTTTCACTTTCAGTTGTGGACCAGTGTCTTGACGCAGACGTGTGTGATCAGATTTGTGTCCATTCCAATGGCTCTGTTGTTTGTGACTGTCAGGATGGATATCAGCTGACCGCCGGGACGGGACAGTGCAGGGCAACAGGTTAGAAGGAGATTTCAATATTGTCCTGTAAAGACACACAAGATATTGTTTTATTTATATCTAAGATAATGTTTTGTGTGCAAATTTGGGTTAGTGTTAATGTAATATTATTTATACAGTGTATAAAAGTATTTATTAATGTTTTAAATGAGCTTTTATTCTTTTTTCCTTTAACTTTTTTTTGGTTGTCATTTTTTTATATTTCCGTTTAGTTGTATAACAAATTCATTAAATTTAATTTAATAAATAAACAAAAATAAAAATCTGATTTTGGTTTGCAGATACTTATGAATTTTTGACTGGATGTTTATGCTATGATGAATATGTTTCTGACTTGTAATATGTTTATGCTTTTTATTTAATGCTGTAAATTGTTTCATAAATGTTTATACATTTGTAAACATTTTATTAGCATGTGTTTTACAAAAAGGAAGAGTTGTAGTTATTATTCTAATGTTAGCCAGATGAATCAAGCTCTTCATAAATCAAAACATGCTCTACAGCAGGGGTTTTCAACCTTTTTCACTTCGGGGCCCACTTCCTTCGCTGATCAGTTTTTGAAGGCCCATTTAATTATATATAAAACAAACTATATAATATATACTATATATTATAACTATATACATATATAATTTTATAGATCTTTTTCAAAAACATATACCGATCCAAAGAGAACCACAGGTTAACAGGAAGATTCCAAAAGACCAGCTTCTGCTTTAAACTGGATTAATTGAATATCTACTATTAAATATCTACTATTCAAAAATACACAGACAAATATAGTAAAACACCCTAAATCTGGTGAAATGCATTGATCTGATGGCGGTTGAGTTTGCAGCTGGATATTATTGGGAGATCGCTGACAGGAACAGTGAAGAGCTCAGTCAGAGCGCGTCTGAAGCTCATATGTAACTTTATTTTACATTCTATGGCAGAAACAACATTGAGCCTCGCTAGATCTTCCTGTGTAGGTGCACATCCATTAAAAAACAATCATAGGACATTTATTTGGACAACTATGCAGATATATTAAATTCACAAAAAATTAACAAAGAGAGACTTTCACTTCATGCATAGATGGGAATGGACAGACTGACGTGTACTAGTTGCAGATGCGATCATCAGGCTGTTTTTGTGCCAAGTTTGAAGTAAACAACCAGAGAACAGGAGAAAGTGCAATACTTCAATCATTTTAAAATGTCATATTAATAATGACATCCAAAAGTTATAGTATAATATTGAGAGTTAATTTTAATCTCGCTGCCCACCTGCAGGATTGCTGAGGCCCACTAGTTGAGAATCCATACTCTACAGCAGGGGTGCGCAAACTTAGTCCTGGAGAGCCGGTATCACATGTTTTAGTTCCAACTCCAATTAAACCTACCGACACCAGCTAATCAAACTCTTTCTAGGTATACTAGAAACTTTCAGGCAGGTATGTTGAAAAAAGTTAAACAGTTAAACAATGCAGGACAGTGGCTCTCCAGGATCGAGTTTGAACACCTCTGACTGCACTACAGTATAATAAAATAGTACAAATGATATTTTAATGGTAATAAATTGTAGTGTGTAAGTTTGTGATTTATTGTATTCACCATTCACACATCACTAGCCATTTGACCATTCCAGACATCACTAGCCTTTGACATTTGAGCGATTTAAGCCAGTGAATTATTTGTTGATTTGTATTATTGAAATTGGCTCAGATGTTTGAAAGTTTTGTAAATAACGATTTCTGCTATCGCTAGCATTAACATCAGTAATTGTGCCGTTGGTTCCATGCAGGTGGCCTTGCTCATGTGGCGGTCAGCACTCAAGAGGGCATTAAAATGATGGACCTCAGCGGCTCTGAGGAAAGAAACATCACAGATAAAAGACTCTCACCAGGACCTGTTTCTGCACTGAATGCTCACAACACACTATACTGGAGCAGTCCAGAGAATGACATCATCTACAGGTGCAAAGCAAGATCCAGCATTTGTCTGATTCATCACTTATTGTTTGCACTTCCGCTTTAAAAAAAAAAAAAAATCTTTAAAGCAACATTATGTATCTTTTTTGCCAATGGTTCCTCATTGCGGTTAAAAAGCATTAATGCGTTTGCTACTAGTGTCATTAGTCTCTCACACTATGAACTTCCTCGTGGGCAGCGTGTGTTTGTAGACTATAAGCTGATAGAACTGCATTGCAGAAACCTCATTTGGAGACCATATCCATTGAGGAGGTAAAGTCTGTGTTACAGCTATAAATAAGGGGTGTGTTTGATCACATTCTTCATTCCAGATAAATTAGATCCAGCCCCGTATGCCAGATGTTGTCAGGAAATGCCAGTTTCTCCAGGTGTCTGCACAACAAGTGAGCAAAGTTTCCAATACCCAAACCTGTTAACCAGTAGTTAACTGAATTAACAGTTTGGTCTACCATCAATATAGGAGTTGACTGTGGAAGGAAGCTAAAGAAGAGCAGAAGCAGGAGAAGAAGTGATGGTAATAAATGAGCAGGGTTTATTGAATAATCTTAGTTGTGTTTTGGTGCGCTCTCGTTCTTCACCTGAACAGCACAAATATAACAAATGCATTATTATACATCAGGCCAAAAGACTTCGAGTTAGACACATACCCTCATATCAGTGGAGAGAATAATTTCATGAAACATTGTCACTATAAGACTAAACTATAAGCAGAACAATAATGCCGCAGTCTCACTAGAGTTTGTGCATGCAAAATTCTGTCGTACAGTGCTGTGAAAAGGGGTGGGATTAAACAAGATGATTAGACATTTAAAAAAGCGAGCGATTGGTCCATATTTTAAATTTCTGTCCAGAGAGGTCATGTTTTGATCCTTGATTGGTCTCACGCGGTCACGTGATGTGATTTCGCAGGTCAGAGTTCACCAAGCTTGAACTTTCCTTTGCAGCAAACTGCGGAACTTGTCCCACAACCTTGCGTTTCCGGTCTGACACATTCGTGTGCTTATGAATGGAAGTCTATGGGGAGAAAAGTGCTGTTTGACCGCAACTTAAGAAATATATATATATATATTAAATCAATAAATGATTAATATAATAAACAATAAACGTAAATTAATTAAAAATATGAATAAATAAATGGATGACTAAACGAATATCTAAGATTTATAAATGATTATATAGCTATAAATGCTATATAAATTATAAGCTATAAATTATTAATGCAAAACAAATGATAAAGAAACATAAAATAACATAGAATTGATTTCATTTAAAGCACACACAGGTTATTACAAATTTCTGATTTTACAGGTGAGACTCAATATATCGTGATATTTTCGGACACGATACTTTATTCATATTCTGGCACCAAGTATCGATATTGAATGAACAAAAACGGTTGAAGGAAACGGCAAGATGCGCAAAATGTGCAACATAAAAACAGAGTAGGATTAACTTTTTTTTTATTAGAAAATATGCACATAAACTATGATGGAAAAACTTTTACTGAACAAATTGCAGTATACACATTAAAGAAATAATGTAATTTTGTTATAAGAGATCATGTGATGATAATAATGTGGCAGAGCACATTGTAAAACATCTGAAATGTTGTTTTGGTTATTCTAAAACACCTTTACCATCTCAGTATTAGTGTTATTAAATTATTAATGATCTCCAGAATCAAGAGCATCTGTGCTCCGCGTCTCATGCCTTCAAATGCTACTGCACATTCACTGCATGTCAGGATTGCCTTCTGAGGCACAAATTATTTATTAAATAAAGAAAAGATTGACGCAGCTTCTCATACCATTGCAAATTCTGTTTTTACTGTTGATATTTAACGCCAGATAATCAGGAAGTGACGATATTGTTCGCTTTGACTCGTTGGATGGAAACGCTGCTTTATTTTATATTATTATATAATCCACTTTTGCCCATAAAGTTAATTCGCATTTTTGGATGGAAACATAGCTTAGGACACACCGGTGTCATTTACCTTTTTAGTCACAAACTGCTCTCTTTAAATCAGCATTTTAAGCTTGTTTGACAGCTCTGAACTTGTTTTACATATTTTCAATTCTATAAAACATGCTGTTAATAATTTGTGATATATCGTGGAATCGCTGATGTTGTGATATAAATATCAGAGGCAAAATATTGTGACAATATCTCTACTATAAATGTACTAATAGCTTATACTTAGGGAATCGTCATACGTTTATGCATATTTGTTTAGACTTAAAGTACCTTTCTTAAAAAAAAAAAAAAAAAAAAACACCCACTGAATTGAATTAATGTTATACAAATTAAAATGTGTTTTTTTTTTTTTTTTTGCTCCAAATTGGAGATAGTTATGTTTGTAACTCTAGAGCATGAAGAATGACTGGGCTATTTTGCCATTGAGGTGACTGGTTTAAGTTTCCAGTAAAACTAGTTTTCTTCTTTACTCAGTATATGAAGCTGATAACTGAAGGGAGAGGTAGAAGGATAAAAGGAAAACTGAGACAATTGAAAAGAAAACGGAGGATACGATAAATGAGAACTGAGCCTTTAATTATTTGCATGGCCCCAGTAGTATCTAGATCTCTTTTTTCAGAACCATCCACTGCAAAGCGTAAAACAAGGCCTTATATTCTCTTCAGCAAAGACCAAACACAGCAGGAAAAGATTGATGTACAGTTGAAGTAAGAATTATAAGGCTCCCTTTGAATTTTTTTTCTTGTATAAATATTTCCCAAATTATGTTTAACAGAGCAAGGAAATTATTACAGTAGGCCTGATAATATTTTTTCTTCTGAAGAAAGTCTTATTTGTTTTATTTCGGCTAGAATAAAAGCAGTTTTACTTTTTTAAAAATACATTTTAAGGTCAAAATGAATAGCCCCTTTAAGCTATATATTTTTCTATAGTCATCTGTACAGATCAAACCATCATTATACAATAACTTGCCTAATTACCCTAACCTGCCTAGTTAACCTAATTAACCCAGTTAAGCATTTAAATGTCCCTTTAAGCTGTATAGAAGTCTTTAAAAATATCTAGTAAAATATTCTTTACTGTCATCATGGCAAAGGGAAAATAAATTAGTTATTAGAAATGAGTTATTAAAACTATTATGCTTAGAAATGTGTTGAAAAAAAATCTGCTCTCGGTTTAACAGAAATTGGGGAAAAAATTCAACAGGGAGACGAATAATTCAGAATATATTGAAGAGTCACACTCTTTATACTGTTCATGTGTCTGGCCCTCAGCCAGAGAGAGTTCATTTATCAAAGGATGGCCTTGCTGGGTGTGGGATTTCCCGGCACTGAAATTGTGTCCCAGTGTAGCCCTGGGCCTGATAGGTTATAAAGTAACAGAGCCTCTTTATTTGAGTGTCTTCTATTGATTGTTCTTTGGCCTTGTGTCTGATCACTTTCTGTTTCTTTGCTGGCTCTGGCATGGCATTAGTTTTGAGACTTGCATATTAGGCTGAATGAATGAATAAGCTGTGAGGAGATCTGTGACGACACCCTGATGTATCCAAGTTTTAAAGTGTTGCTCCCATATGTCACACAAAGTATCATGGTGTGTAGGAAAAAAGGTCTATTGGTTGAATGGATAATCAAGTCCAACACAAAATGCACAATTTAAGCCAGTTTATCTGTCTGTTTCAGGATGTCCTTAGACTCCGGTGACCACAGACCAGCTGTGTGGTTGAAGGCTTCAAAAGGCATTGTGGGATTGGCAGTGGACTGGATCCATGAGAGTCTGTATTGGATCAGCACCAGTACTCGTGCTTTACACATGGCCTCTCTGAAAAACACCAAGCAAAGGCTGCTTATCTCTGGGCTCTCTAAACCTACTGCTGTTGCTGTCCAGCCACTGTTAGGGTAAGGAAATGCAGCTTTTCTATGCCATAACAGGGCTTGACATTAACACAAACTTGCCAAATGCGGGTGGATTTCATCTGTGGCGGGTTACACAGCCACACCAGCTAGCCACTTTGGCTGGTTAAAGTTTAATTGTAGTTTTCTTAAAAAGCAGAGTTTAGGGCCAGCGTTAGAGATGACAAAAACCTGTTTTTGTGTTAGCAAAAGGAGCATGGTATATACCTAATGAGAGCATGATCACACGCGAGGTGAGCAGTGTTGGGTAAGTTACTTTAAACAAGTAATAGATTGCAAATTACTACTGGAAAATTGTAATCTGATTACATTGCTAATTACGTGATGTAAAAAGTAATCAGATTACTAATTACTTTACTTTGAAGTTACTTTTAAAACGTATAAAATACAACATAAAGGGAAGCTCTTTCAGTAATTTAATATTCACGAAGAAACATTACAATGGGTTAATCACAGCAGCTTGACATTTTCAAAAGACTTAAGAGTTCAACCAAACTTTACAATTCTCTCATCATTCACTTGTTCCAAACTTGTTTGTTAATTAGTTAATTAGTTTGTTTGTTTGTTTTAACAAAAAAAGAAGACATTTATAAAAAAAAAAAAAAAACTGGATACCTGAAACCATTGACATCTAGAATATGCAAAAGCACTGCAGTGTTCTGTGTGGTAATTAGTCTACCGAAATGTGTATATTCCATACAATGCATGAAGCTGACCAGTCAGTCCTTGTCACATGATTCGTGGTTTTTAACTGGTGCACCTGCAAAATGCGAGTGTGCACAATATGAGCTCTGGATATGTGTGTGCAAGCCGTGCGCCTCCATTGGAATTAACGAACTTGCACGTGCAAAAGACGCAATATGTAAACTCTCTTCAAATTCAGAACACCTTCACTCCTGATTCTACACAAAAATTCAACTTCCTCTTTCCTGACGAATTGTCATAGAATGCTTTTTGTTCAATCGCTCGAACAAGTTGCTGGTCGAGGTTAAAAGCAGATGAAAGCTCTTCAGAGACTAGACATAGACTGCACAGCAATAGTTTTGTTCTTCCGCTCAATGAAATCAAAGTAATGTCTGTATTTACACTCGAAAAAGCAAACACACTCGTCAGCATCCATCACCATTTCAGCTCATGTTCTCCAGCAATTTACTATTACTATTACCAACTCTTGAGGTGAGAAGCAGGCAAATTTTTTTTTTTCACTCACTAATGTGATGCACATGAGTGTTTATAAGTTTTAAAAAAAACTGTTCTTTATTGCGTGAAGCATCTGTGCCTAAAAACGCAATTGGTGTTATCGGTTCTCTTTGAAACAGACTGGACAAAAAGTGACGCTCTTGCACCCACAGTCCTGCTACTTTTAAGAGCTTGAGATTTTTTTTTTAGATGTCTTTTTGTAAGCAGCAGCGGTTGCTTTCACTTTAACCATTCTATGAACAGATTATTAATGGGCCCAACATTACCTGTGTGACGTGATCATCTTTTCATTATCACACACAATATGTTTTTCACCTGCTTTCTTTTGCTTAGTTATTTTAGGCTAAGAATTATTATTTTTTATGTATTTGTTTTTGGTGTGGCTAGAGAAAAATGTGGCAAATCCTGTTGAGGCTTAAAAAGTCATGTAAAATAAAAAAATAGTTTCAATTTGAAACTATGAAACCACAACCCATTTGTTCATGCTCACTGAGCAAGTATATACACGGCAAACAAAAAAGTGAAAAGAATGAGGTGGCATGTGGACAGAACACAGAATCTGAATCAAGTAGTTTTAGCATGACAAAGTCACATTTTATGCATATAAAATATATTTTCCCGACTACAAAATTGTGACTAGTGAAAATGGCGAGTGGCTAGTAATGTTGGAAAACTGCTAGCCACAGTGTCTGGTTATCAAAACAAGTTAATGCCAAGCCCTGGTCATATATACAGCTGTGGAAGAAAATTCTAAATTTAATGTGGAATAATGCTTTATAGTTGTGTATTTGTGTACAATTGTAAAATCATTTTCACATAACCATGCAAAATAGAAAAAAAAGTCATCTAGAGCATTTTGTGGGGCATAAAATAAGAACAAAAATATTTTAGACAATACAACACCAGTGAATCTTATTTCAGTTCCTCAGTCTAGGCTGAAACGTAGAGGGGACAGAGCTTTCTCTTTGGCGGGTCCTTGGTTGTGGAACACCTTGCCCCTTGAGATTAGAATGGCTCCATCATTATCTATTTTTAAATCACTTCTTTTTTTGTTTGTTAAAATTATTATTCAATGATAATAACAACAATAATAATATAATAGTAATATGTTATTAGACTTACGCTAAATAAATTGTGTTATATAATATCTTAAATAATTTCGACTTTTACTTTCATAAAGTATATTATGCAGCTGTATTAAAATGTAGTAATATACTATTAAATATACTATATGTTATATACAGTACTTAAAACACAATTATAATTATATATCTAATTTAAAATCGTAATGAATTGGGATTATTTTTACAGGCACATCTTTAAGCTGATGATGCGTGTGGTGATGTTTCTTTTTCAGCATACGATTTTGAAAAGCTTAAAGGTATAAGTCATGAGTTTGCTGGTAATTTACTCATCCAAGGTGTAGGTAACAAGTAATAGTCTATTATAATGAAAGTGAATTGATATGCTTCATAAAAACATGTAAAGTGAACACATCCTTTGTTTTGTAAAGGTAAATGATAAGTGTGTGTAAAACAAATATTAACATTTTAAACTGTAGACCACTTAATTTAGCCAGCGGGCAAATGAAGCAGTATGTCAACATTTCTGCATCTACAGATTGTGAAATAAGATGTACTATGAAACTTACAGACCATATTTAAAATGAATGAACAAAAGACAGCCAGTACTTACGCAAGTATAGAGTGCGGGAAGTAAGTATTGGACACGTCATGTTTTTCATGGGAAAAATATTCCTAAAGGAGCTGTTGACATGAAGTTGAACCAGAATTTGGTAAAAACCCAAACAATACAAACATAAAAATAAAACAAAACAGAAAAATGAGTCATGTGTAATAACAATGGAATGACACAAGGAGAAAGTGCTGAACTACCGGAATGTATTTAATATAAAAGGCTTTATTGGTGATGGCAGCTTAAAGACGACACATGCTTTGTTCAGGTGGGATTTTTTATTTATTTTTTTTTTACTGACTTGAAGTATAAAAATCTTGATGGTTCTGTGGGTTTCGTCTATCAAATCTGGTCTTTATTTTGTATTGGATTCAAGCCAGATGGTTGGCTAGGCCATTCTGCAGCTTGATTTTCTTTCTCTGAAAACATTTGAGTGTTTTCATTGGCTGTATATTGGATCACTGTCTTGCTGAAATATCCACAATTAGGGGTGTAACGATTTATCGTTGTACAATTTATTGCGATGCAAAAATGTCACAATATGCATCGTGGCGTTATGACGATTTGATTACGATACGACGTCCATTTTCTCTTATTAGTTGAGCTGTTTGCAAGTGAGCTACGTTCCACCGGCTGTCGCACGTGAGTTCAGATTGCAGCAGCAGTAATGTTAGCAGACCAAGATGAGTGGAGCTGAAATAGAGGATGGCCCATCCTCTCAAAATCAGACGTCTTGCAACATTTCGGTTGTACAGTCATTGCTTTAGACTCGTCCGCTTTTTGACACGCATACTGGGTCAAACATAGCCGAAGTTTTAAAGTCTTCACAGTGATTTACATACTTTGCACAGCGACAGGGATACCTTCTAATGGTGTTGAAAGAGTCACATACTGTATTTATAGGGTACAATTCACCCTAAAATATCATTCTGTCTTCATATAATGTTCCCGCCGCAAAATCACACATGACGTGAGCTGACCGTGAACTGTTACTACAGAGGGCGGACTATGATAGACGCGCGCGTATGGCAAGCCATTTTAGCATTTAAACCTTTGTTCTGACTATCCATAAATATATTTAGAGATATCTCTAATTATATTTTGACTAGTCATAATTATAATTCAACTAGTCAGAATGACAATTAGAGATATCTGCAATTACAATTGTACTAGTACGAAATCAGATTGGAGATATCTGCAAATATATTATGACTAGTCATATTCCTCCATTGACTTCCATTGAAAAATATTTGCAGATATCTCTAAATGAGTTTTGACTAGTCACAATTGTAATAAGAGATATCTCCAAATTAATTTAATTAAATATGAATTAAATACCTGGAAATGTGGATTTTTTTTTGCACACACAAAAAACGCAAGTGACCAAGCAAAGCCTTAAGCTCTTACTGTTAAATTCAATTGAATAGAAAGCTTATTTTTTTTGCACCTTTACTTAAATTTTTCCTTAATTTTGTCTCTGTCATTTCAATAATATTTTTAAGAAGTTTTTAAATTGTTTTATTTTCCAGAGACAGGTCTGTTTAATTTATTTTCTTAAAGAAGGTTCAGTTTAACAAGTTGAAACAAAAGAAATACATAAAAAATAGTTTACTTGGTAAAATTTGCATTTCAGTTTAATTTTCAATTTTTATTCCAAATATCGTGATACATATCGAATCGTGAACATTATATCGTGATACACATCGTATCGTGAGCTGAGTGTATCGTTACACCCCTATCCACAATGGTTTATCTTTATCATCCTGCTAATGTAGATTTTGGACTGAAGCAGCTAATATTCTTTTACATTGATAAAAGGCAGAGGGTTGCTGAAGAACTACTAAGATTTCAGCTGCTCTCTGGGCTTTCACTGCCTTTCTTCATGTGTTCAATATATTTCCCAGTGTCTTTTCCTTTTATAACGCATCCCTCCATTTGTAAACTAATATGTTTTGTTTTTCCTTTGCATATATGGATTTCTTTGGTTGTTTCCAACATCCATTTAAAATTTCAAGTTAACAGCACCTTTATAAATATGTTTTCTGATTGAAATGGTGACATTACATACTTTCCCCTCCACTGTATAGCAACCAATATATTTGTATAAACACAGCTGTCATTTCGCAAACACAGCACATGCAGTATATTCATCTTATAGTATGCAATAACAATGTGTCGTTTTGAAATGTCAACCTTAAGCATCCCACCCAACTTGCATTATATGGACTCACTGATGGATTGTTTTTCTTACTTTGTGTACAGCATTTAACCAGTTTTTCTTCCTAAAGGTATGTGTTTTGGGCAGAAGGTGGGGAGTCTGCCAGAATTGAGCGTGTCGGTTTGGACGGGGAAAGCAGATTTGCATTGGTAGTTTCATTTGTACGTAACCCTGTCGCAATCTCACTAGGTAAGTATCTGCAGTACTAGCTTAGTTGTAAAGTCAAACCTCTTTTCACTCCATATGTTAATTCACTTTAATTTGCTTTTATTCATACATTAGTTTAAGGATGAGATTTAACTATACTTTATTATGTAGAATGGTGGCCAAGATTATTAGTATACTACATATTTAAAAGGTTTTTTTTAATTAGCCACAACTATACAAAAATCACTGTCAGTTTTGCAAATTCACGCAGTCATGAGACTTTACAGAAGAAACCAAGTTAGTGTGACATTCTCAGGAAATATATGGCCTTTATGCCACTAGATGTGCTAATTGATTTGTTGCAAAAGGAGGAACTCAGCAAGCATTTTTGTTTTTAAAAGATGCCTAATAGATGTCTAATAGACATCTAAACATAGTTATCTTGGCTAAAACAAGGCTAAATCAGTAAAAATCTACTAGACGTTTAAGAAAAGCCCAAAACTAGACTAGTCATCAAATAAACAGAAATGAATGACTAAACATATAAAGTCTAATCTGTATAGATTTGGTTTATTTTTAGGTGTATATTAGATTTTCACTGGCAGCCCAAGTTTAGCCTTGTTATACCCAAGCTGTCTACATTTAGATGTCTATTAAACACAGAATTGTTTGCTGGGTACCGACTTCCACAGTTTTTAAAACCTTACACACGAGTATATACTGTACTGTTCTGAAAGATTTTTAAAACCAATTCATTGAGATAAATGATTTCATGAAGAACCTTAAACATTAAGGGAATATTTTTATTTCACAAAATCTTTTTAATATTGGAAACAACCCAGCAGGCACACAGCGACATAAGACATTATTATTAGGTAAGATTTAGGTCGTGACATCTGGTGACTAAAATTCAATCTCTAACCAGCATCTAAGGACAACCAGGAATAGAGATTTAGCATGGACGGAGGGGACGCACCCCTCACCAAAACCCCTCAATTATAAAAGTTGTTTGCTGGGAAATCTCTCAGATAATCTTTTCAGATCTTTCAGATTAATTATTAAAACAAATCATTTTAGCCACCACTGTAGAAAAGATGTCTCTTAAGCAACTGTTTTTCAACTTCATATTTTACTTCACTTTTCATGCATTCAAATAATCAGTTCTCCCAAAAAACATCATTATATCATTAATAGGATATTTTACATGAAATCTGAGAGCTGTCTCATACTTCATAGACCGGAATGAGGGGACTTGTGGAGCTGCGCATTGATGGACTTGCTCTTCAGTGTTTGGAAGTTCAGCAGTGAAATTTAAACAACTGAACTGAACTTAAACTCTGAAAACTGGAACTTCTGTTAAGCTGCTTTGGCACAATTTACATTTTAAAATGACAGAAGAAATAAACAAATAAACAATGATCCAAATTCAAAAAAGAACAAAAAACATTGTCAAAACTGTCCATGTGACTTCAGCAGTTTAGCTGTAATTAAACAAAGCTCCAGAAACAATCTTTTGCACCAAAAAAAGTAAAAATGACAATGTTGACCAATGTCTTCTCTTTTGCAATTGGTCAGGGGGTGTTTTTACTACAGTACGTGCAATACAGCGTGTTGCGATTATAACATAACATAAGTGTTATATTACCAGAAGTAAAAGCACAGCCTGAACTTTACTATTTTTCCTGCTGCACAAAAGTGTTTTTGGAGTTTGATATGATTACAATTGAACCACTGAAGTCACATTGAATGCTTTGACAATGATTTTAATTATTTTCCTAATGGTTTGGAGACCCTTGCTGTCTATGAAGGATGAGAAAGCCCTCAGATTTCATCTAAAATATTGTATTTTGTGCTCTGAATATAGAATAGAACAACATGAGAGTGAGTAATTATTAACAGCATTTTAATGTTTGGATGCACTGATACTATAAGGATGCTTGTTTCATGTCTGAATAATAATTGTCATCTATGGTTGTTAGTTTTCATCACTGAAATATGATAAAAAATTATTTCTTTGCTCATCTAGATATCCCTCGTGGGCTTCTGTACTGGGCCGACTCCGGTCTGCGCTCAATATCAAGGGTTTTATTTGATGGACAATATAGAAAGACGGTTGTAGAGTCCAATGGATACCTGGATCAGCCATTTGGACTGGCCATATTTGAGGTACACAACACAAGCCTTTGGATTTTCATTTATTCATTTTCTTTTTAGTCCCTTTATTAACCAGGGGTCACCACAGCGAAATGAACGGCTAACTTTTGCAGAATATGTTTTACACAGTGGATGCCCTTCCAGCTGCAACCCATCACTGGGAAACACCCATACACTCTCATTCACACACATACAGTATGGATAATTTGAGAGGGTGCTAGATGCAGACCTGGTGCAGTGCAATCTGATGTGCATCCAATGCTTTTTAATGCTCTCACCTAACCCCACCCCTAACCTTACCCGTCACAGTGAAGTCACTCACTCCATTGAGTGCATTGTGTTTGAGATTGCATCGCTGAGTGATGCAATCTCAGCTTGCATCATAAAGGCTGCATCCAGATACTATTGGATAATTTAGCTTACCCTATTCACCTATAGCGCACGTCTTGGACTTGTGGGGGAAAGCGAAGCACCCGGAGTAAACCCACTTGAACACGTGGGCTTTAAAGCAGCAACCTTCTTGCTTTTAAGTGACAGTGCTACCCACTGCACCACTGCATGCTTTGCCTTTGTAATATTTAATTTATAAAACATACCAGTATCTATGTTCATGCTACTAGGACAGGAGTTTTGTTTTATGTTGCTAGTATTTTTCCATACTTAATTACTTGGATACTAGTTATTGTTAGTTACTAATACTCATTCGTTACTACTGCCTAATAAATAGACACTGGAAGAGTACTTATTTATCCGATACTAGCACTTTTTCATTAGAAATGTGTACTTAATTATCATATTATAGTACCAATTAAGCAAAGTAGTACTTCTTATTAGTTACTAGTACTTTAGGTACTTATTAGATACTAGTAGATATTTCAGTAGGTACTAGTATCTATTGTAATATAGGTAAACATATTTTAAAACATATTGATTAAATAGTGAGTCAAATATTGTTGTTGACTTCTTCGTCTTTAAGATATGATCTGTTCAGTTTTGGATTAGTTGTATTCTATATGCATATGACAACTCTACATTTTATGTACTAGTTGTAGTTATTCTTTAGGCAAGTACTTATTAGATGCATACTAGTACCTATTATTATATGCTCATGCTTAATCATTAAAAACAAATACTTATTTATTTGATACTAAATAGAATAATTATATATTGTATTATTAGATACCTGTTTTTAATTATTTGGTGTAAATAGAATGTCATCGTGGTAATGGACGCAATTATTTCTCTGTACATTTTATGCAATTTTTTATTGTTTAATGAAACTATTGGTAATGTATATACTATATGTAATGAATTTTATAATGAAGTGGTGTTTAGTTGCTATTGCTGGATTTTTTTTTTTTTTCTTTTCCAGAGTCGAGTGTACTGGAGTGATCAGTTGACCAACTCTATTTGTAGTGCAGACAAGCACAATGGCACCATGCTCAGAGTGCCTCAGAGACTGGGTTCTGCTTCACCAGCTGGACTGGTCATCCTTCACCCACTGTTACAGCCTGCAGGTAGTCTGAAATCTTAACACTGTTTTCTAAAATCCCATTCAGACTGTCAGGTTACCTAACGCGGAGTTCAGACTGCATGATTTTAGCCCCAATTTTGATTCGCTGACAGATTTTGAGAAATTGCAGAGAAATGCTGAAATCACGGGTAAATCAGTGCTCGTTCACAGAAGGAACAATTACACAGTTTGAACTATCAAAGATGCAATCTGAGAGAATCGCCGATAAGTCGCAGACTCCAGTGAGGTATTTGGCATGCTGAATATCTGGAGCTGTCGGCGACTCTAAATCATGCCATGTGAAATGTGTTCTGATTGAAAATAACATTGGCGATCCCCTACAGCCAATGAGAGAGCAGCATCCGCTAGTATGGGTATCTGCAGGCCAGCGGGAGGTTGGGGGAGAATTTTAAAGCGCTTCTTTTCTGTCTATTTGGACCCAAGAAATCAAGAAAAAACTAGTGTATATTTGGCAGCAGCATTGTCTGTTTGACATGTCATCTGATCAATACCACACCACCAGTTCGAAAAAGAAAAAAGTTTTAGACAAAAATGCTAATTTCCTTCAAAGGCGAGGTGAGTAAAATACGAACATTTTTACCCCACTAAAAGCTGCTTTCTCACTATGTCGTTAATAACGCATGTGTTTGGTTGTGAGACGTAGTTTGTGAACCGAGACAAAGTTATCGGTAATTTTTTGATATGTAAAGTCATGCAGTATGAAACCCCTTTTCACCGATCTATCCTACAGTATAAATACAGCACCAACAGAACGCTACCCCAGATAGTCATGCAGTGTAAAAACATCTGTGGCATGACTACTTTGAAAATCGTGCAGTGTGAACTCAGCATTGCCCTAACCCAGGGGTGGGCCAACTCGGTCCTGGAGGGCCGGTGTCCTGCACAGTTTAGCTCCAACCCTAATCAAACACACCTGCTTATAGATTTCTTGTGATCTTAAAGACACTGATTAGCATGTTCAGGTGTGTTTGACTAGTGTTGGAACAAAACTCTGCAGGGACACCGGCCCTCGAGGATCAAGTTTGCCCATCCCTGCCCTAACCCATGAAACTGAAGAGTAGATAAGCTAAAGCAGCAGAAGATTAAATGCACACTTGGTGACACTCCTTTTAACAAAGAACAATAAATTAACTAAGGTGTTTTCATCTTTTGACTCTATTATCAATCGATTATATCATTAATCATGCTCAATAGTGTCAACACAACATTCAACACGCAGCATTCTGCTAAATGAGTTGAACAAAGTTAGGCACTTGAGTAAAAGTGCAGATAGCTAAATAAAATATTTCTACAGTAGAAAAATAAGCTTCTCTTTTTCAATATTACTTGAGTCAAACTAACAAAGTACTTTAGTTTTTTTAATTTACTTTAGTAAATGCACTTAGTGATGTTACAGGATGTTTATTTAGCAAAAATGGTGAATTTCCAGACTTACTGTAATAATCACACTAATAATTAGCGATAATTCAAGTGAATACATGTGAAACCACATTCACACGCTGAACCCCACCCAGATCAGTTTGCATAATCAGTGAATCTTTCTCTTTAGATCTTTTGATTCAGTGAGTCATTTACTGGAGACTCACTATGAAGGGATCATTTGAAGCTTAAGTTCACTCCAAAAATAGTAGAATGGGAAAACAAAATTAATCTCAATTCATGCAGCATCAGAATTTAGCATTAAAACATGAAGAAATATCCAATATTTTACAGCAAGCAGGATTAGTTAAAAGTGCAGTGGGTGATCTGCCAAAATGCTGATTGGATAGCATATTAGCTTTGGACGGCAGGGAGGGACTGTGTTTAAAATCCACGTCTCTTGAAATCACGAGCGTGCCCACCGAGACACGACAGCAGACAACCCAATTGATTCGCCAGTTAAAAGTGGATGGCTGGGCGGCGTGCAGGAATTTCACCTATTACTATGCCACACTTACACACTTTTTTAGACTGAATATTTAGAGTAGCGGTAAACAATATCGGGAGCGCGTCACAGGCTGTCATTGCACAGGCGGCAGGCATGCACACACTAATGGCGGATATGCGTGAACAGAGACTCTCAAAAGCCCAAATCTGCATTTGTTGACTGACAGTTTGAGTTACTTATTGGGATTATGAGAGATGTCGGTCCGACTCTATTTAATTGGATGAACATTTTTTTAGTTTTATGCCTTACCCAGAATATAAAAATACATATAAATACATTTAGATCATTTACCTTAATCATTGCTATTGGAATGTGAAGAGACTTTCAACCAGCACAATTAAAAATGTTTCTGAAGACAATCACCTACTGCACCTTTAATTACATTAGTTAACATATAACGAGAGCTGGGGGAGCAGAGCGAGGCCAGGGGAACAAACGTTATTAATGAGCAACACTTTTTTTTTGTCTCAAGAGTGCCAGGGAGGAGTAAATAAAAATAATGAATGCCAAATGAATTAGGGATTGGGATGCACATACATCTAATACTTTGTTTAGCTTAGATGTTGTTGTTATTTTATTTTTACATTTTAATAAAATGGAATTTGAGAAAAAAAGTTAATGTTTTATGTAAAAATTAGGGATGTAACGGTATTGTAAATACCGTCATACCGCAATATTAAATTTTTTCGATATTACCGAAGTCGCATGACTCGGTAAAACTATAGGTCTTCTGAGAAAATTTGCTCAGGCGAATGAAGCGAACGGGAGGTAGCTGGAACTTCATTTCCCATCAGCCCCGGCGTGGCCATAATCCTTTGCGGTCTGTTGTCGCTACAGATCCAGTAATGCGGAAATGGAGTGTGCTGCTAGTAGCGGAGATGAAAAAAAAGATGGAAATGATCGAACCTAAAGCGGGTGTTGTCGCCGCGCGCGTGCTGAATAGCGGTGCTGTCGCGCGCGTTCTGATCAGCTGTTGTGGCGCGCGTATTGTAAAGCGCCGAGTATGGCAAGCCGAAGGTATCGTAAATACACTATTAATCAATCGCGTTTACTATTAAAACGCCGCATTAAACGGCGCTAATACCATTTCAAACGCCGCTAAAAACGCCGTTCTGATTGCAAACGCCGCAAATAACGCGCGTAAACCTGTAAAAAACGCCGTTTTTAACGCCGTTTTAGTGTTAGTGAAAAGCGCGGTTTATGACGCGATCCGCTTGCCACAAAACGCCGTTTAAAACGCCGTTTTAACCCCACTGAAACGCGCGTTATAAACGGCGCTTTCCTGAAGTATAATGAGCCACGCCCGCTGATTTCCACAGCCAGTAAGCTTGAGCTGCTCTCACCCAATCAACAATGAACAGAACCAGACAAGACTAATTCACCACTGATCGTAGCGGAAGAAGGGACTCTGAACTGATAGCAAATGCTTATTTACAAAGTACCTTTTACAATAGATCGATTCCACGTCTTTGTGCTTGTAAATGTTCATTTTAGATAGATGGCATCAGAAGAAATGTATTTTTGTAAGTGCCTTGGCAAAAGTGAGCGGGCATGTTATTGTAACCCTTATTTCTGGCTGTTTACAGACCATTCTCTCCAACGTGGGCATCGTAAATAAACGCTGGTTACCAGGGTGATAATTCGTTTCTTTTCTTTAATCTGGAGCATCGACATAACATTCACAAACAACATTACAACAGCATTGCATCTGCCGAATTCCTCCACTTCCTTTTTTCCCTCTCTCTCCTGCTTTCCGGTGCGCCTCCCTCAAAGGAGCCAGAGCACATCAATAACTTTCTCAACTAACACATATTAAACCTTGTATCAGACATATTGAACGTAAATAGAAAATCTTTTAAGTATATTCAATAACATTTTTACAGTTAAGTATTAATTAGCAAAATATAAATTAAAATAATGAATAAAATATAAAGTTACATTGACATAGCAGGTCTGCAAACGCAAACTAACCGACTCAATAGGGCTGCATGGGCAACATCAGTTGAGGGCTAATGCAGATTTTAGCTCCAGCCCATCAAGCACCTGCCAGCTTTAGTGGTCTTGAATACGTTGGTTAGCTTGTTTGGGTGCGTTTGATGTGCGTTATAGCAAAACTCCACAATGCCATCCCTGACAGGCCCTGCCAGGTGCATTTTAAAAGGGCAGACCTTATGACTGATTTTGGACCCTCTTGTTCCTTTCATTTAGGCTATTTATTCACTAATTTGTTATTACTTTGCATTGCTGCCCAAGTTACTGACTTAAGGCAATATACTTTTATAGTAATAATAATGCGCACAGTTTCATTATTACATCAATGAATTAGTGCAACGATACCGTTTATATAAATGCGACTGATCTTTCAGTGCCAAACAAGGGCTTTACATTATTTTATTCTCCTTATTTATTTCCGTTTAGTTTCAAATAATAAATGTTTAAAGTTTTAGATAGACATCAAACTACGCCCACACATGCAAGCTAACCCGATTAGACTATTCTATACCGATAAAGTGAAATCAGCATAACACAAAAAAAAATACTTTTAAAAATCAAGATTTAATAATAAATGCCATTATTTAAATTGTTTTTAAATTGTTAAAATGTTTATGTAAATGCTGCGTTCAGGCTGCGTTACTTTAAAGTGTGCATTACCGAGCCTCATTCAAGCACTGCAGCAGAGAGCGTTGTCATGGAAATGGAGAACGACACGATACGACACGACCCCTGACCGTCAACAGCACTTCTCTCATGCGGCAGTTTTCACTAATTTCAGGTACGTTTAGTCGCTAAAATCATGCAAATGTTACATACAACTGTTTCTGACACCTTTCTTACTGACAATTGACATATTTCTGTTGAATATGTATTTTATAGAGACGGTTGTGTCTTTGGAAAAAGTCCGTTAGCATCTTAGCAGAGGAAACGTTAGCATTAGGCTACTAGCTCTTGTTTATACAAGTTTTGGCTTTTAATTACATCTTTATGTGTACATGAGAGGTTTGTCAATGTTTTATTGGAGGTAGTGTACTTTATTTAGCCTAAAATATGCACTGTAC